GAGGGGCGTGGCTTCTGGGGAGGGGTGGGGTTTGTAGGCGAGGGGCGTGGCTTCAGCAGCAGGGGTGGAAGTGCTTTGCACAGATTGGCTGTTGAGGTTGTACTTTATCTCCTCCCCTTTTCTGGGTGGGTGTGTCCATATAAGGGAAGGAGGTGGGGCTTGGGGCCTCCTTGGGGCAGAGCTTTGCTGACTTAAAGGACTCTGGGGGTGGGGCCAATGCATGGGGCGGGGCCTTTCTCTGGAGGCTGTGAGGGGCTAGCTCCACCCTTAAGGGGGTGGGGCCTCCCCTGGAGGGGTGGGACTCAGGTCTTCTTAAAGGGACAGTGCATGGTGGGTGGGGCCAGGTTGGGGAGGGGCAGGGCTTGTGCCTGCAGAAGCGGGGCTGTAGTGACCCCGCCCCTTCCCCAGTACCTCCATGGCCGCCACCTCCGGCACCCCTTCACGGGGCAGCTCCTGCCCGTCGTCACCGACCCCACCGTGGAGCCTGCCCGTGGCACCGGTACTGGGACCAGTATAGGGACAGGACTGGGACCTGTACTAGGCAGGGGGGGGCAGGGTATTGGGACCACTAAGGGGACTGGGATGGGTGTGGGGTGAGGAACATGCACCAGTATGGAAGGGACAGAGACTGGTCTGGGTGTGGGGGTCCCGGTTTGGGGAAGTAACTGTTTCATTTTTGGGGGGGTCATTGGTTTGAGGACACACACACGCGTCCTGGTGCTGGAGACATGGGGTGGCACTGGTGGCAGTGGCAGGGTGGCAGTAGGTGACAGTGGGAGGGGGTGAGGGCGGCTGGGGGGTTGACGGGGTGACAGCGTGTCCCTGGTCCCTGCAGGGGCGGTGAAGGTAACGCCGGGACACAGCTCCCCTGACCTGGCACTGGCCCGGGCCCACGGGCTGCCCCTGGTCTCCGTCATTGGGGACGATGGCACCATGTGTCCCCCAGGTGGGGGGTGGCTCCAGGTACTGCCATTCCCGGCGTCCTTTCTGTCCTCGTGCCCCCCAGATCGTGTCCCCTGTCCCCAAGCACATCCCTGTGTCCCAGCCCAGGTCCCCAAGTTACATCCCCAGCTGTGTCCCCCATCCCCAGCCACTTCCCTGTGTCCCCTCCATCCCTGCGTCTCCAGCTGTGTCCTGTGTCTCTGTCCCCGTCACTTCCCTGTGTCCCCCCATCACCGTGTCCCCAGCTGTGTGCTTTGTCACTTCCCAGCGTCCCTTCTGTCCTCTGTGTCCTCTGTGTCCTCTCTGTCCTGAGCTTTGTCCCCTGTCACTTCCCAGTATTCCCTCTCCCTGTGTCCCCAGCTGTGTCCGCTGTCACTTCCCAGTGCTCTCCCTGTCCACGTGTCCCTATCTGCGTCTCCTGTCCCTAGCTGCTGCCCTGTGTCCTCTCCATCTCTGTGTTCCCAGCTCTGTGCCCTGTCACTTCCTTGTGTCCCCAGCTGCATCGTCCATGTCCCCTCCATCCCCACGTCCTCAATTGTGTCCCCAGTCCCCAGCTCTGTCCCATATTGCTTCCCAATGTCCCCTCTGTCCCCGTGTGTCCTGCCTGTCCTCTCTGTCCCCAACTGTGTCCCCAGGGCATCCATCGCTTCGTGGCACGGGAGAAGGTGGTGGCTGCGCTGGCCGAGCGAGGGCTGTACCGCGGCACCCAGGACCACGCCATGACACTGCCCATGTGCAGGTACCGCTCTCCCCATCCCATCCCCTCCATGTCACCCTCTCGGGGCATGTGTCCTCACCACCGTGGGGACATCCCAAGGGACTGAAGTGACCTCAACGTCCCCGCAGCCGCTCGGGGGACGTCATCGAGTACCTGCTGAAGAGTCAGTGGTTCCTGCGGTGCCGAGAGATGGCAGAGCGTGCCCGAGAGGTGACAGGGACACGGGGACATTGGCGGGGGGTGGGGAGGGGGACACGCACACCCCCAGACGCCTGGGTCCGTGACCCTCCTCTCCCAGGCAGTGACATCGGGGCGTCTCCAACTCGTCCCCAAATTTCACGAGAAGAACTGGAAGATGTGGATGGACAACATTGGGTGAGAGGGGACCCCGGTGTCTGGGGTGGGGGGACCCAGGTATCCGCCCCCCACTGATATCACCCACCCCCACCCAGGGACTGGTGCCTCTCACGCCAGCTGTGGTGGGGGCACCGGGTGCCGGCGTACCGGGTGGGGGTTCCCTTGGCGGGGTCCCCTCCCGAGCACCCCGATGGACTCTGGGTAGTGGGGCGCAGCGAGGCCGAGGCGCGTGCTTCTGCTGCCCGCACCCTCCGCTGCCCCCCCGAAGAGCTCCAGCTCCAGCAAGGTGAGGGGGGTGGGGGGCACCCCAAAATCCTCCTGGCATCCCCATGTTCCCCTGTGCACCCTCAAACAATCCTCTGTTCCCCCAAAATCCTTTCCGTTGCCTTAAAAAGTCTCCCTGCCTTCCCAAATCTTTCTCTTGCACCCTAAAACTCTCTTAGGACCCCCCCCAGCACCCCCAGCCTTGCCCTGGCACCCCTAAATCCATCCCCCTCCCAGCACTTTCTAGTCTTCTCCAGCACCCTAAAGTTGTTCTCCAGCCCCCCAGTCCCCCCCCCAGCACCCCAAACCCCCCCCCCCCAGCATCTCCCCAGCAGCCCCCAGATGGCACCACACCCTCTGGCAGCCCCCTGCCCACATCCACCACCCCTAAAATTCTGCCCTGGCCCCCCCAAGCACCCCAGGCCACCCTCCCACCCAGCTCCAGCACCCTCTTGCCACCCCTCTGTCACCCCCCCAAGCTCTGAGGCCTTTTGGGGTTCCCCCCGACCCCCCCCATGCTCTTGCAGACCCCGATGTCCTGGACACGTGGTTTTCTTCTGCGCTCTTTCCCTTCGCCGCGCTGGGCTGGCCCGAAGAGGTGAGTTTGGGGAGACACAGGGGGCTCAGAGGAGACATGGGACAGTGTCCCCAACCCGGTGTCCGCCCCCCACCTCTGTCCCCAGACCCCCGACCTGCAGCGTTTCTACCCCACAAACTTGCTGGAGACGGGAAGCGACCTCCTTTTCTTCTGGGTGGCACGTATGGTCATGCTGGGCCAGCAGCTCACCGGGCGCCTGCCCTTCTCCCAGGTACCACCGAGGTCCCCCCGATGTCCCCACGAGTTCCCTCTGTCCCCTTGGGCTCCCCATGAGTCCCCTGTGTCCCCGACATCCCTTAATTTCTTCCCTCTCGTGTCTTGTTCGTTCTTGGGATTCCTTCTGGTTCCTTGTTGCCTCTCAGAGCTCCCTAGTGTCCCGTTCTTCTCTTTCTCCTTGGTGTCATGTTCCTTTTTAGGGTTTCTTGGGGGCCCCTGTCCCCCTTCGGGGCTCCCTTGTGTTACCAAGTGTCCTTTTTTCCCTTTCTACTGGGTGTCATGTTCCTTCTCAGGGGTTCTCATCCTGTCTTGGGGCTCCTTAGTGTTCCCTGTGTCCCCAGGGACCCTTACTCCCACCCTTTGGGGTGTCTAGTTCTTTCCTGAGACTCCCAGGGGTCCCCTGTCCTCAAGGTCCCCGGGTGGTTCCTGTCCCCCTTTGGGGCTCCTTAGTGTCCCCAAGGATCCCCTTTTCTCTCTCCCCAGGGTGTCTTGTTCCTTCTCGGGGTTCCCTGGGGATCCCCGTTCTCCTTCAGGGCTCCCCGATGTCCCCTGTGTCCCCAAGAGTCCCTTCTTCCTTTTCTCCTGGGTGTCATGTTCCTTTTCAGGGGTCCTTATCCCCCTTGGGGCTTCTCTGTGTCCCCAAGGGCCCTTATTCCTTCTCTCTGGGGTGTCTGGTACTTTCTTGAGGCTCCTGGGGTCCTCTGTCCCCTCTTGGAGGTCCCATGTCCCCTTCGGTGTCCCTGAGCGCTGTCTGTGTCCCCCTCCAGGTCCTTCTGCACTCGCTGGTGCGCGATACCCACGGGCGCAAGATGAGCAAATCCCTGGGCAACGTCATTGACCCCTGCGACATCATTGCCGGTGCCTCTCTCCAGGTACTGTAGACCCTACAAGAAAAAATACGTACCCCCCAACGCAAACCCACCCCAAACAAGTTGTTCTGGAGACCCTACAATAACAAACGTGCTTTTTGGGAACCCCACGACAATAAATGCATTTGTCAAAGACCCTACAATAATAGATCTTTTTTCAGGAGATTCTACAATAACAAACTCTCACCTTGAAAATTTTGCAATAACGGATTTTTTTTTTTTTTTTTTTTTTTGTCTTGAAGACCCGGCAATAACAAAGCTCATTCTGGAGGTCCTACAAAAATACACCCCGTTGCTCTACCCTTCTCGGAGACCCTACAATAACAAACCCCCCAGCTCCCAGAGACCCCAAAAGAGGGTCACGGAGACACCATGGTGACAGACCTGTGACAAAAGCCACCGCGGCACCTTTGTTTATTGTAGGGTTTCTTGTTTTGCAGGAGCTGCAGGAGAGGCTCCACCACAGGCTCCTGGACCCCCACGAGCTCACGGTGGCCACAGAGGGCCAGGTGGGACCTGTCCCCATCTCTGTCCCCCAAAAACCTGTCTCTGTCCCCCCCTAACCTCTCCCTGTCTGTTCCCAGAGGCGCCAGTTCCCCCACGGCATCCCCGAATGCGGCACTGATGCCCTCCGCATGGCCCTGTGCTCCCACAATGTCCATGGTAAGGAGTTGAAGGAATGCCGGGACCCCATCCCCACCCCAAGGTGGCCCTGTCCCCACCCTGGGGACCCACCTCTGTGTCCCCAACCCCTCCACCCTGTAGGTGACGATATCCGCCTGGACGTGGGCACGGCCCTGAGCTACCGTCACTTCTGCAACAAGATCTGGAACGCTGTCAAGTTTGTCCTTGCCGCCTTAGGGCCCAACTTTGTCCCCCAACCCCCCGAAGAGGTACCAGGGTGGGTTGGTGGAGATCAGGGTTGGGGTCCACCACCCTGGGACCCCCCCACCCATCACTGTTCCTGCTCCTCTTCCTCGGCAGATGGTGCCACAGCACCCCATGGACCAGTGGGTGCTGAGCCGGCTGGTGCAGGCGGTGGCTGAGTGCGGGCGGCGGATGGAGGCCCTGGAGGTCCACGGTGCCATTGCCGCTGTCCATCACTTCTGGCTGCGTAGCTTCTGTGACGTCTACCTGGTGGGTGGCCCCGTCCATCTGTCCCGCGTGGTCCTGTCTGTCTGTCCTGCCCGGCTCCTCGCATCTCCCCTGGGTGTTAAACCCAGTAGTGTCGCATTGAGTGGGTCTGTCCATCTGTCCCACCCCACCTGTTGTAGCTCCCTGAATGTTGAAGCCAGTCCGTGGTTGATGGTGTCTGTCGGTCCATGCACCCCAATCCATCAGGTCTCTTGAGGTGTTGACCTTAGCCTGTTCTCTGGAGTGTGTCCGACTGTCTGTCCCACTTCACTTGTTGTAGCTCCTTGATTGTTGAACCCAACCCATCTTGATGTGGTTGGTGGTGTCCATCTCTCCGTCCACTCTAATCCGTCAGGTCCTTAAGCGTTGATCTTAATCTGCTCTCTTGAGTGCGTCCATCCATCTGTCCCACCCAATATGTTGTAGCTCCCTGAACGTTGAACCCAACCTACAGTTGATGGTGTTCATTTGTCCACCCCAATCCACTGGGTCTCCTGGAGTGTTGACCTTAGCCCGGCCTCATCCTGTTAAGTGCATCTGTCTGTCTGTCACACCTCACCTGTTGTAGCTCCTTGACCATTAAACCCAACCCATCTTACGTGGTTGGTGGTGTCCATCTGTCTGTCCACCCCAATCCATCAGGTCTCCTTGAGTGTTGAGCTTAGTCCACTCTCTTGAGGGCGTCTGTCCATCTGTTCCACCTCGCCTGTTGAATGTTGAGCCTGACTTTTACCTTGGTTGACCGCATCCATCTGTCTGTACCTCTGGGTGCGTCCCTTTGGGTGTCGACCTTTGTCCGCCAAAGTTGACTATGTCCGTCTGTCCATCCCACCCCACCTCCCGCATCTCCTCCAACGCTACCCCAGCCCCCTTGCTTTGGTCAACCGCGTCTTGTCTGTCCATCCAACCCAACCCACGTTGTCTCCTTGACTGTTCCCCCCACCACCTTCGTCCTAACCCCACTGTCCGTCTGTCCGTCCGCAGGAGACGGCCAAACCGACTCTACGGGATCCGGCAACCGCCGCCGAGACGCGCCGGACCCTGCTGAGCTGTGCCGAGCTGGGGCTGCGCCTCCTTGCCCCTTTCGCCCCCTTCCTCAGCGAGGAGCTCTGGCAGCGCCTGCCCCGCGCTCCCCCCGCGCCCCCCACCCTCTGCCTCGCCCCCTTCCCTGACGCTGCCCGCCTGGTGGGTGCCGTCGCCCTTGGGGGGGGTCCCCGGGGAGGGTTTCTCCCCCCTGACACCCCTTTGTCTCTGTGTGTGTGTGTGGGTCCCCTGCTTCCAGGCTCATTGGTGCTGCCCCAGGGTGGAGGCCCAGGTGGCGGCCATGCAGGAGGTGGTGAGGACGGCGCGAGGCCTGCGGGACGTTTTCTGCCTGGGTGCTGCCCGGCCCCCCGGTGAGTGCGGCGGGTGGGGGACAAGATGGCCGACGGGGTACGGGGGGAACTACCGTGTCCCAACATGCCTTGGGGCACCCAAGATGGCTGCCAGCATGTGGGCGGGAACCACTGGGGGCCCAAGATGGCCACCAGGGTTGAGGGGGACTTTGTGTCACTCTGTGCGCCCTGGGGGTGTACAAGATGGCTGACAGGGCTGTGGAGGACCACATATCCCAGCATGCTGTGGGGCAGCCAGGTAGGGCTAAGATGGCTGCCACAGAGGACTACATGTCCCATCATGCACCTGGCTCCTCCCCATACTCCAAAATGGTGTCTCCCATTGAAGGCGGCCATGTTGCCCATCCCACCATGGGGTGCAGGGCTGGAGGCCTAGCAATCCCAACATGCCCTGGGGCACCTAAGATGGCTGCTGGGGCTGCAGAGGTTCTACATGTCCCAGCATGCCCTGAGGCACCCAAGATGGCCGACAGGGCTGTGGGGGGATGACGATGACTACACGTTCCTGCATGCTGTGGGGCAGCCAACTAGGGCTAAGATGGCTGCCACAGAGGACTACATGTCCCATCATGCACCTGGCTCTCATCATACCCCAAAATGGCATCTCCCATTGGAGGCGGCCATGTTGCCCATCCCACCATGGTGTGCAGGGCTGGAGGCCTGGCAATCCCAGCATGCTCTGGGCACATGGGGGTGGCCATTCCCCCCCTTCCCCCCCCCCATGCCCCAGGTGGGGGCAGCCATGTTGGGGGGGGGCATGGGTGGCCGTGCTTGGAGGCGGGGCTATCCCAGCATGCTCTGCGCAGTGGCGGTGCGGTGCGTGGCGGAGGCGCAGGATTCGTTGGCAGCGCTGGGCCCCGCCCTCCAGGCCCTGGCGCAGGTGGGGCCTCTGCAGCTCCTCCCCCAGGGGGCGGAGCCAGAGCTGGGCCCCGGCTGGGTGGGGGCCCCCGTGGGCCCCGACACCCACGTCTACCTCTGCCTGCGGGTGAGTGGGGGGGCCAGGGGCATTGTGGGATGCTGGGGGACCTGGGGGGGCCCCCAGGGGCATTGTGGGATGCTTGGGGAGCCCAGGGCATTGTGGGATGCTGGGGGACCCCCCAGGGGCATTGTGGGATGCTGGGGGTTCCCAGGGTATTGTGGGATGTTGGAGAACATGATGGGAGAAACCCTGGGAGCCACTGGGAGTTCGGGAAGCATTGGGAGAACCTAAGGCAACCCCAGGGCATTATGGGATAGTGGGGGTGTCCCCAAGGCATTGTGGGATAGTGGGGGATCTCCCACTTCCCTCCTGCCCCCCCCCCCCAGGGGCTGGTGGAGCCGGCGGCCACCCAGGCCCAGCTCCGTGCCCGCAGCCGCGGCCTCCAGCGTCGCCTCGAGACCCTCGGGGGGACCCAGGGGGCCACGGAGAGCCCCCCCCACCCCGGCACCCAACAGCAGGTACCGCACCTTCATTACGCTAATGAGCATTGGTCCACCCAATAACTCCAGAGGGATGGGGGGGGTGTCTCATTAACCTCATTAAGGGGCGGAGCGGGCTTTATTAGTGTTGCTCCCCGCTAGCACTGGGGGAGGGGCACCCCCTCCCTCCGGGCTCTTCGTTAGTGCTTGTCCTCGTTAATGCTTCCCCCCCCC